AGGGTGGTGTCACCTTGCCTGTCTATCGGTGTGCAGGAGGTTCTACCTCGTTGGAATCATTTCAAGTCCATCCGAATTGATTCATATCAGGTAGGTTGCAAACTATATACATTATTATTATGTATATCAAAATTTTATTGTAACTGTTAATTATTTTTTTTATTAACAGGTACTCGTGCAAATGACCTAGCATATCTCATGGAAGGACTTGTGCGTTAGGACAAAGATCGGGCCGATGCTGCATATAACATATAAAATATTATATATTATATAAAATATTATATATTACTTAAAATATTATATATTATATAAAATATTATATATTATATAAAATAATATATTATATAAAATATATTAAATAAAAATTATATAAATATATAACGAAAAAAACGAAAAAAACCAATGCCTATTTTCGTTGAACATTTAGTGCACACTTGGCGTGTGCCAAGTTGTCTTGTTATTTAGCAAAAGTCCTAGATATGTCTGACCTTTTTTTCATGGTCTGACTAATGAGGCTATTTGGAATTTTAATTATACTGTAGATCACCCAGCTGGAAAACTTGAAAATAAACTGTTCACATAGCCTTTAAATGTTTGCAGTGTTCGTTTTATATAAGAATCGATAAAAGTAAATTCTGTCAACAAAGCATAATATATAATAATACAATTAACAAATGTTTATTATGTTTAATATATTTATTTTTACTATTGTTGAATAGTTGAAGTACAGGAACTTGAATTTTTGCTTTTACTTTGTTATGGGTCGTTTAAAAACTATCTTCACAAACGTACAGAGCATATTTGGGAGCGACTCCTTACAAACATGTTTGTAAGTACTGTTACTAGGCCTATGTTCAGTAGGATGAATGTATACAAATTTACAGTTACTCCAAACCTTTTATGTTTATTGGATTGTAGTTTTAATATTGTATCTACAGTTTAGTCTCTTTATATCTGCATATTTTGTCAGTGATTGTATAGATTTGTGCTTCACATTTAGTTAAATTTTGATATTTATATAATTAAAGTTAAAAGCAAAACGCTTGTGTGTGACGCCGTTCCAAAGGCGATACCTCCTTGCTCAAAGTAAATAAATAAATAAAGAATACTGTTACATTTGTTGTATATTATTATAATTTTTTAAAATTTTTCTATTAATTTTTGACAGTGAGGGTTATATAAACAAAAACTTGACTAGGTGTGAAAAGTGTCAACTAATTAAGATGTAATTTAAAGCAGTAAGTGGTTTTTAAGCGTTTTGTCATCCATGGTTTAGTGTCGTGCATGTCAATACAATTAAAGAGGCATTATGTGATGTCGAGTAATGTCACATTTTAAAGGAATCTGTGTGTAAAGTATATATTCATTTCACACAATCAGAATAACATTTCATTTTTAACTTAGCAGTAGTCCGGTTTGGAAAGTGCTTTAAAAATTAAATTAAAAGTGTTTAATTCCTATAAAAAAAAATAAAACAAAAGTAAAAACAAAATGATCGTTGAGAGACGTTTATCAATTAATTCTGAACTCATATTTCTAAGATAGGAAATGACAACCATTATTAGGTGTAATGCCATTAATTGCTTTTTTCAGGTTTCATATCATACTGGTAACTTTTTGGATTGTACACCTCTATGGTGTACTTGGTATTTATTTTACACAACACGCATCATTTTCATTGGAAATGAAATCAATTTTTTTTTCTGTCATGACGAGGATAAAATTAGTTTGTAACTGAAACCATACAATTGTTCCGGTAGCTTTTTCCATTAAGAAAAAAACTTTTATTATTAAAAGTTTTAACAGTTTTAATTATTAACTTTAAAACGTCACTATTCTCTGTTCCCCTGTTGTCAGTGCACAAAGCGCCACGAGTGCTACTCAGGTGGATGATACTGGCCTATATAATTTACCCTCACCCTCGAAGGGGGAAGACAGTACAGTATTGCAATGAGCTCCGTCTGTCTATATGTCTGTCTATATGTCTGAGCTCGTAACTCACAATAATTGGGCCGATTACTTCAAATTTTTAGACAATGTCAGGACCATTTGTGATTCGGTTCTCCTTCAATTTTGGTAGTAAGTTTGTCTATTTGTCTGTCTGTCCACACGCATCTAAACAAATATTGGGCCGATTTACTTCAAATGTTCAGATTATGTCTGGCCACCCGTGGTCGACTCGGTTCTCCTCAAATTGATCGTATGTATGTCGGTCTGTCTGCCCAGGCCTATACCTCAAAAACCATATTTACAGACTATGCCAGTCCTCCACAATGGTGCTGATGGATTACCATCCGGATTCAGAACATATTGAAATTTAGCCTATTGCCATAGGCCTATTGGAATTCATTCTCCTATCAGGAAATGATTTTTCGTACTTGATTGCTGTTATATATTGTATTTATTTACTTGGTAAATTCTTTTTGGAAATGAGGTGAATAAGAGTACACAATTTCTGGGCTTCCACGGTTAATAAAAAAATAATTTAATATTTAGTTTAATACAGGCGAGGTTTGCAATCTAGGTGATTGTCTTGTTTAATTTATTACCGTATTGTTCATCAGACTAATACCAACGACACATGAGTATGAAAATGTTTATTTATTAGGTAAAATACAGAAAGCTTAAAAAAGTGAAAAGACGGATATGAAACATGAGAATTGGGAACGTAAGAGCAATTAGAAGAAATACACAACTACACCGAAGTACCGGGAAAAACATGTTCTTAAAACTATAAAGCACTCTACAGAGCATACCAACACATTTCTGCCTCCCGAGCCAATACACCTTTCCGGAGTGTCAATCAAACTTAGCAACTGACCAATCAGAACAGCGCTAGGGATACACGCGCGTCTCACAAACACACGTGTTGTCCCACAAACGCACATGTTCGCCTATGTTTTAACACTGTCGTCTTGTGGGACCTTAGCAACAATATCCAAGGGGCGGGGCTTAGCGGAAAGGTCCATTAATTTAAAAATCATCATCCATTGATATATATTTGTTCATAATGCTTTTTAGTCATGAGAAAAAAATAGCACTGGATCGTGCCATGATTGAACCCTGTAGACTGAAAATTAAGGTAAGTTAATTAGCCACATGTTATACACTAGGCTCACAGTAGTCAACGTGTGTCCACTCAAGCAAATTGTAATTAAGGTATATGCCGATAATTATATACTTTTCTTTTTGTTGTCAAAAGGGGTTACAATGACAGACCTTTTGGCCTTTATGTAGTGTCTTGTATATCATCTTGTTCTATTGTGTTTTTCTTGTTTTCCATTTTATTGTAATGTATGTAATTTGTGAAATGTTTTTGATATAATGACTATAAAGACAGACAAGGCTCGCGCGGAAAATGAGGATATTACATTTATAATTAATCATTTTCTATTATGAATGTCTTCATCTTCATCATCTGTTCACTTAGGCGTCGTTAGTAGACTTAGCGTTTACACCTTCTATTATCAGATTCCATCTCTTCCTATCAATGGCCAACTCCTTCACTTCTCGTTTTTCAGCAGTGTTTAGTTTATGTTGATTAAAGTCCTTATTTATTGTTTGTACAAATATGGCTTTTGGTCTTCCTCTGGGACGTTTTACTTTCCGGTGGTATTTATGAAAATCTCGTTTGACAGGTGTATCGTCTGGTAAACGTAGTAGATGCCCTAACCATTTCATGCGCCTTTTCATAACTTTCGTCGACCATTTCTCGTCAACGGTTCTTTTATAGAGTTCAATGTTCGTTATTTTAAATTTCCAATGAATATTTAAAACTCGTCTTAGTAAACCTCTTTGGAAACTATCTCCTTTATTTTCGAATGATTTATTTAGCGACCACAGTTCACTATTTATAGAGAAACATGAATGTATGTATACATTATGAATGTATTATGAATTTAATTCCTGACCTGTATATAAGAATATATATGATAACATAAAATTTCTGATAACGGTAAGGAGGAAGATTATTGAAAAATATCAAATTTTCTTGAAACAATTCTTGAAATAAGCATACAAATTTTTGTATAAAAGTTAAAGATGATGCTGTTTTATCAAATTTACTACTGAATGAACACTGCAAACATTATAGGTTATGTAAACAGTTTGATTTGAAGTTTTCTGTTTTACTTTTATATTTTTATATAATATATAATTTTTTATATAATATATAATTTTCTATATATTTATATATTTTTTCATATAATATATAATATTTTATATAATATATAATATTTTATAATATAATATATAAAAAATTTTATATTATATAAAGAATTATATAATATATATTTTATATAATAAATAATATTTTATTTAATATATAATTTTTTATATAATTTATAACAAATTATGTATTATATAATTCTTTATATAATATATAATTTTTTATATATTATATAAAATATTATATAATATATAAAATAT